CTGTGCTGCCTTAAGCTAAACTGACATTACAGAAGAAAGAACGAGGTTAGATTGACATATTGCATTAAGGTCAAACCAACATAATGTCAAATCAACATACCTTTCTAAGGGGAACGTGTGGATGTCCGCTCTGTTCAACTTCTGACGACCGACTGAGGCTTTTTTTAACATCACACTCATGACCGCTCTCTGTATCCGGTTTTGTTCTTCTTAGTTTCGGGCAGCGCTCCATTGAAATACCCTATTGTTTTGAGTGTTTATTTCTACAATATGAATTCGGTTTCTCTTATTCCCAGTTGAACAAATGTCAATTTTCTCAAAAAATATTGTAAAACTGTTGCTAAAGCCTACTTTTAAAATCCTGCGCTCTTAGCCTGATTCTCTCCGACCAATCAGCAAGCATGTTCCAATCACGGCGCACGTTTAAACTCGGGAGAGTGGGGTTAGTCGGTCTCCACCAGCTCGAGAGACGGCTTAGCACAGGTTCACGTTTTTAGCTTTTGTCGGCGCAAACGGGAGCTTGCAACTTTGGTGACAGAGGGATGTCCACAGTTTCATATAGTACTTCAATCTTGCTGCGTAACGATACCGATCGATACGAAAGCATTACATGAAAAACCGTGAAAAGAGGTGCACCGGAGGACCACTTCCATTTAAGATTTTGAACTCAAGGTCGGTCACGTCACAATTTCGTTTCTGGCAGCATATACCCGCTTTCCGGCCAGTGTGCGCTGCATCAAATCCCAGTTTTGCCAAGTTCTGGTTACACCTTTAAAGGTTTACTGTAGGACTAACTTTTCCCTTCTGTATCCTTTCAGGAAACATTGCGATTGCCGTACTTCTGACCCTTGGTGTTCAGATGTCTCTGTGCCAGTCTGTAAGTGTACCTTCATTGTTAAAAAGAGCGAGCTTTTCGTGCTTTTTGGTTGTGGTGCGTGCGATTGATATTTAGGGGGTTGGAGAGTGTTTTCTCTCACTTATTAAGGTAGGACCCTAGAGAAAAAGTGAAAATCGGCCCAGGGGCCAAGGTGCCCTAGATTATTCACTGTCACTTGAAACGTTGATTTTTACATAACAATCTGTCTAAATCAGAACTCTTAATAAATATCATAATCGAATATCAGAAGTTTATTTTCCCTAATTTTAGAGTAATATGTCCCAAATGCTATTAGCATGGCAAATTTGGGGGCCGAAAGGCCCTATTTCCGTATACACTCCTGTAAACTTGTCTCGGGTGTCAGTGCCGCAGGCCTAGCTATTTCTGCGCCAGGCGCGTCGCAGCGTAAAGTGTTTCGTGAGATATCGCGAAGCCTGTTACGCGAGACGTGGTCTGACGTTGATATAGCTAGTTAATGTGCCTCCACTGTACTCGGTTGTCAGCGTTCAATAGGGTTTTTCACCTGACGCAAACCGGATCCAAAAAAGAACATGCGTTCTTCCTGAGCTCTTTCCTCCCTTGCTCTGATTGGCTGACGCCGACGAAGTTCATGAACTGGCCGCAAGGGCGGTCGACTACTAGTGTCGGGTCCGAGAACTTCGTCGGCGTCGTCCAATGAACGCCAAGCAGTTCAGGAAGAACTCTTGTTCTTCTTTGGATCCGGTTGCGTCAGGTGAAATACCGTATTGTGTATCACAACGCTATTTCGCGTCACGCGCTATTTCAGATGGTTTTGTCGGCAGACAGGCACAGCCACGACGACGCGGTACTGGGACTGCTGCAAGACCACTTGCGCCTGGAGCGCCAACGCTGGCAGTGTGACGGGGCCGGTGGAAACGTGTGCGGCGGGCGGCGCGACAGTGGTGGACGCCAACACTCAGAGCGGCTGCGCTGGCGGCAGTGCCTATGTGTGCAACACCCAACAGCCTTTCGTCCAGGACGGCCAGGCCTATGCTTTCGCGGCAGCCAACGTTAACGGTACTCTGAAGGTTTTGGCAAACGCTACTTACAGTATCCTGAATTACGGTCTACACTTTTGTCGTAAATTCAACCCTGAAGGGACTGGATCGGATGGGATGCGGAAGCGCTCTGCAGGTGGGATGTGGACGACTTTTGGATACCTGGCACATCCATGTTTGTTTCAATTTGGATACGTATTTGGATACCCACTGCATCCAAATTGCATCCAAATACATCCGTTTAAATCCAAATATTATCCACTTTTCGTTCACACGTCTCGCAATTTCATCCGTACTATATCGACACACATCCGACCGAACTTCATCCTCACCTATCCGACCCCATCCACGAACCATCCACCACATCCGTTTTGCTCTATCTCTTACCGTTTAGGAGATATACACTGTATCCGTACGCTATCCGTAGTCATCCGCACTGCATCCGCAACCTATCCGATGCATCCGTAGTGCATTCGCATGGCATCCGTAGCATATCCAACGCATCCGCAGTCCGCAGTGCATCCGCAACCTATCCGATGAATGCGCAACCTATCCGCAGTGCATCCGAAAGTCATCCGATGCATCCGGATAGGTTGCGGATGAACTGCGGATGCGGTGCGGATGCACTGCGGATGCATCCTGGATGCATCGGATAGGTTGCGGATGCACTGCGGATGCACTGCGGATGCACTGCGGATGCATCTTGGATGCATCGTATAGGGTGAAGATGCACTGCGGGTGTCCTGCGGATGCCTCCTGGACTCATCGGATAGATTGCGGATGCACTGCAGATGCATTCTTGCATTCTGGATACATTGGATTGGTTGCGAATGCACTGCGGA